TGCCGCCCTCTGGTAACTATGTATGGAGTTATGTGTTCGTGTCTCATAAGTCACAAACATTATGAATAACATTACAAATTATTCCTTCAAACTTTTATTCATTGCAAATATATTAAAACAGTTTATATAACAGCCATTAAATATCACTTTCAATATATTTATAAATAAAAAGCACATAAATTTTCTGGTGTGTTCAAATTAAAATAATTTTCTATGGGCTCAATTTTAAATCATCTAGACTTTTGGTCAAACGCATAGGTGTTCAAATTTAAATCATTGGCATTTTGGTCGGTTGAAATTTAAATCATCTACCATGGTATTGTGATGTGTATTATATATATATACAATTTTTTTAACAAATAATATGTGCTTTATAAAAATAATAATAATAATTTCACAAGATTTTAAACGTAAAATTTGGTTTTTAATCAAAATAGAAAAATCATGGTAAGTTGTATTGAAAATGTGTTATGAGATAAAACAATTAACTAAAATAATTAAATAAAATAATTGATGGAAATAGAATGCATTAATTACATTTGACTTTTCTTATTATTAATTCTAGTAAATAGAATGCCTTTTTATATAAGTATATATTTTGCCAATTTATTCACACGTCAAATTTATTCCTTTTTTTAGGGAATCAAAGCCCATACAATATGTAATTAATTTATGGAACAATATGCAAATAAATCCATATAGATGCATTTACTTTTTTTTTACGAATTCAATTTATTTAATTAATTTAATTATTTCATTTACGGAAATGGTCACTCGGCAAGAGATTCTAAATTCCATATTGCAGAGATTCTAATCGGAAAAAAACATCTATTATATATAATAGAAAGTTTGTTAAGTTAATATTTATAGAGATTCTAATGGGAAAAAAAATGTCTATTCCATATTTATAGAGATTCTAATCGGAAAAAACATCTATTCCATATTACAATATGTAATTAATGAAAGTTTGTTAAGTTACTAATTTTAGACAATAATTAATGAATTTGGCGGGAAAAGATTACTAAAAGTGAATTAAGTTAATCCTTATTATATATTAATAGATATCTCTAATTAATTAATTTGCATTACCTCTTTAATGTGACTTATCCACTTATTCTAATTATATCTCTAATTAATTAATTTGCATCATTTCTTTAATGTTACTTATCCACTTATTCTAATTATCTCTCTAATTAATTAATTTGCATTATCTCTTTAATGTGACTTATCCACATGTGATTTTAATCATCTTACTTAAATTAGAAAGTCAACATTTTATTTTTTAGTCAAACTTACTATAAATGTATTTTTCCAACAACCTTTTTATATAGATATAGATATAGATATTGTTTTAATCCAAATTTAAAATTTAACAACTAATATCGTACAACTTTTTGAAACGAACTAGTGTGTATCCCGTGCAATGCACGTGTAAACAATATTAGTTAATGATTATAAATTAAAGATGAGGTTAAATAATATTAATTAATAATTATAAATTAAAGCTGTGAACTTAATATGTAATATAATTTATCGTATATGAGTTGTAAACAATATATAATTATCTTGTATAAAAGAATTTGAAAAATATATGTTTAAAGTATTAAAACGTCTAAAATATTATATAACATATGTAAAATTATCTAAAATTTTAGATATCATTATTGAAATATGTGGAATCATCTAAAAAAATTTTAAACTATTTTGTAAAAAAACATGCCTAAAACTATTTATATTTAACATATATATAGAATAGATAGAATGTGTACAAAATTGTCTAAACAATATTTTTAAATTATATATAATACTATGAGCCTAATAAGACTCGCGAAATAATTATAACATAACTTCCATGTAAAGTTATAACAAATAAAATAAAATTTTATATCTAAAATTACCATTCTTTATAACTCTTAGTTCTCTTATTCTCTTTTTATGTAATACAAAAGCTTATATCACATATGTAAAAAGTATTCAAAATATTTTACATTATTTTTTAAATATGTGAGAAGTCACCTAAAATTTTTCTAAATTATTTTGTAAGGAAAACAATTTCTTAATCTAGAGAATATGTAAAAATTTGTCTAAATGTTTTTAAAACATTAAGAATACCTAAACTATTATATAAAGTATGTAAAAGTATCTAAAATATTATATATTATTCTTACAAAATATGAAATTATCTAATTTTTTCCAAACTATTTTATAAAAAAAAATATCTAAAATCACTTAAAGTTAATATTTCTGTCTCTATATATATATACACTTTAACGAATGTGTAAAAAAAAAAATTGCTCAAACAACATATTTAAATTATATATAATATTATATGTAAAAATATATTTAGAGTTGTATCCACTATTATATATTATAGTCTAAAAAACTGTTGGTCTAACAAACATTAATAATTTTAAGCTAAAATATTAGTAATTACAAATACCATAAAAAATAATTAGACAATACACCATGCGCTATTTTTTTTTATATAGTAGATACCCTAAAAAAATTTTATTAGACAAGTGGGACTTATATTTTGGAGAATTGATTTTAAATAAAATCCAGATGGAGTTTTAGATTGTCCGATTTTTTTCTTATTATTAAATAAACGGTGAGATTTAATCTATAATATTCTTTAATTTGTGAATGATTTAAAATCAAAATACATGGTATTATTATGTTTTAATTTAAATAAGTGTCATATTAAAGAGATTTAATTTTAAAGGGATAATATTTTTTAAATGGGATAAAATTTTCTAACGCGAAATCAGTGCATTGGTCAATTACAAACTAACAACATCCTAAAAATCTTGGAAAGCATTAATTGCAGAAGGTTTAAAAAAATACCCCCTCCTAATCAAAATAAATGTCGTTTTGAGAAGTGACACAGTAATTAAGAATATTTTTGTTGTCAATAATAACCCTATTTAATGAAGATAGAGATGAATGTTTTGAAAAAAGATGAAGTGTGAATATGAAAAGACGTAGTGTATTTATTGACTAAATGAGGGTAATAATGGAAAAAACATGTCTAAATACTCAAAACGACATTTATTTGGTTAATAGTTGATAAAGCCAAAATGACATCTATACTTATATTAAAAGCTATACTATTTACTAAATGTAGTATGTAGAATAGTCAACCCTAATTAATGCTTTGCTATTTTTATCAATCATTTAATTAATGCATCTAATATTTTTGGTAGGCAAATCAAATTAGAATTTAATTAGTTCCTAAAATATTGGGTATGCAATATTAATTTAGGAATATCCATGTAGTTCCTAAAATGTTGGTATGCAATACGCAAAAGAAGATTTTTTAATTTTTATAAATATAAAATATTGCAACACGTAAAACTATTCCAGTTATTTTTTATTTTATTTTACATATAAAATCTAATCAATATTGAATGCATCTTACAAAATTGGATTTAGTTTAATTTCTATATAATTGGTTGTACCTTTTTCAATTGTACTTTTTTTATTTATTTATTTTACACTTTTAAATTAATGAAGCTCTCCAAAAATACCAAATCAAATGATTTATGATTTTTTTTTTTTACAATTTTAAATGTATATACCCAGCTTAAAAAACTGATCGCATAGATATGAACGAGTTTAAGAAAATTTCATGACTCAGCTTATAAAATTCCATCTCCACGAGTAAAAAAAATCACATCCCTCATCTATCGTAACAACTTTAAAGGTAAATAAATAAAAGTCTAATTACTTTTATAAATTCATTATCTATATAGATTTTTTAAAAATCTAAATTTCACATGTCTAATTACTAATATTTTAGATACTTTTAAATATTATTTGTATATTTTTTTTTACACATTTGCTCTCTCTCTATATATACATATATGGAGGTTAATGAAGAATTTTTAGACATATTTTCCTTACGGGTAGTTTATCAAAATTTAGGTAGCTTCAAACATTATTTGTGAATTATAGATGTTATAAAATATTTTAAGTATTTTTAATATTTATATATCACACTTAAAAGGAATATTTTGCCAAAAAAAACATTACATACATATTGTAAATGTTAATAGAAACAGTCTTCAGTGTTCGTCTTTGATTTTGTCGAAACAAATCTCATAAAATCGGTGAAGTCGAAATTTGTACGTAAAGTCTATCTATAGTAAAAAAAAGGTAGATTCAAAATTCTTTATCTAATTTATTCTTTTCCTTATCTAATTCTTTCTTATTATCTAATTGTATAGAAATCTGTTCTGATTTTGTTCAATCCTCTAATTGTATTATTATTATATCCCATAAAATCGGTTTAACAAAAAAAATCCCATAACATCTGATAAGTAAAAAAAAAAAGCACGTAAAATCTTTACTAAAAAAAGGTTTTATTTATTATCTAATTGTATGAAAATCTGTTCTGATTTTGTAGTACGTACTACAAATTGTGCACCCGTGTTCAAGAGCTATTTAACGGGCAAGCTCTGTGGAAATAACTCATTTTGTGCTTCTGTCCCGTGCATACGGTATATATTTGTATTACACATACTAGAAAATTGTGCACCCCGTGCATCGCACGAACTCTGTACTAATAAATGATCTTAAAATTGTGCACCACGTGCATCACCTGTGTTCACATTTTGGCCTATTACAGGTCACATACTATATATATCTCGTACATTTTTCTTTATTCATTTATATAATTATAAGACTTGATAAATGACCTTAATTTTGTGCACTCCGTGCATCGCACGGGATGTGTACTAGTTTAAAAAGAATAGGAGGTAGTATTTATTACTATTAATAGCAAGTAATTAATGCAAAACATGTTGACTAAGAATTTGACTTACCATTTTTAAAAAATGTTAAATATAGATATAGATATAGATTTCACGTCAACAATTGGAGAGGTCGGGCCTGTCAGCTGAACCGGGCTAAGTTAAGAGGTACAAAATTACAAATACGATCCGATATTCCGATTAGCTCTATTTGATTATTTATCCCATCGGCTGAATTTTGCCGCTGAAATGGCTTCACTTCACATGTTCGCGCTGATGTTCGTAAGCGTAATATCGGCTGCCACAATCAGGATCGTTGCCGCCGTGGTCTACCGTCGGAGAAACCGGAGTAGATCCGTCGGTTTCTTTCATCCGTACACAAACGACGGCGGTGGGGGCGAGCGAGTGTTGTGGTGCGCCGTCAAAGCCGTTCAGGAAGAGTTTCCGGAGCTGGAATGCGTGATCTACACCGGAGATCATGACGCTTCCCCTAAATCGCTCGCCGCCCGAGCTGTCGAACGTTTTGGAGTCGAACTGTTGAACCCTGTAAAGGTATGTATATTCGATTCTCCAGCTCTTATATAGTTCATGCGAATTTGATCAAATTGTATGAGTTTAGGAAATTGTTCGACTGACTACTATGGCTAGTATTGGAATTGCATGGATTTAATTGTGGAATTAAGTTAAGGAGTATGAAATTCTGTTGGTTGTTGTCAATGCCTTACTATGTAGTATATGAATGAGTCTTGTTCGCAGAATTGCTTTTGCCTAACCTTATGTTGTAAAGCTATTCCTCCTTCTCTTTTCTTTTCTTAGTGGTTTGTACTTTTCTCTTCTGTGTATAGAGCTTTCAAAGTTTCAAATGCAAGAGACTGTAACAATGGTTTGCTTTCAATCTTTTGTGCATATATTTCTGCCCAGGGCAGGTGATACATCTGTATAAGAGAAGGTGGGTTGACGAAGCTACCTATCCGCGATTCACCATGATTGGTCAGAGCCTTGGTTCAGTGTACCTTTCGTGGGGAGCTTTATGCTCTTTCACTCCTCTGTATTATTTTGACACCAGTGGATATGCATTTACGTACCCTGTTGCTCGGTTGTTTGGATGTAAAGTTATTTGCTATACGCATTACCCGACTATTAGTTTGGATATGCTGTCAAGGGTCCATGGACGGAGTTCTATGTATAATAATGATGCTTTGGTTGCTAAGAGGTATATTTCACAGCTTCTCACATAAAGCTATTACATCAAGTTTATGGGTTTTAAAAAGAACAAGAAAGCTTGGGATGTTTTCCATTGCTGATGTTGAACAGGTTTCTTAGGCATGTAGTGATAATGTTGCCAAAATTAGTTTAATAGACACTTGTACAATTAAGCTGACACTTGACCTTGTAAGGTGTCAATCCCCTATGGTGGCTTCATTACAGCTACTGTGTTGGTTGTAACCAGAATACAGAAATAGTGGCATACTTGGGTCATCTCGATGGGTTCAGAAACCACACGTTAGAAGAAATATGTAAACTTAATTGGCGTTTTCTTACGCTGAAAAATGCGGAAAATCTAAACATCTTTTATTGTTTTTCATCGGTCTGTTTGCATCACCCTAGATATGTGATGATGTTGATAATTCAATGAAGGATTCTGGCTATTTTCGTATATGTTTCTGATTATCATATAAGTTCCCCTCTACTTTCTGTCTGTTCATGAAAGCTAATACAACTTTCCTTTTTTGCAGTGTCTTCTTTTCTCAGTGTAAAGTTATTTATTATAAGGTTTTCAGCTGGATGTATGGGATTGTAGGCTCTTGTGCGCATCTTGGAATGGTTAATTCTTCATGGACTCATTCTCATATTCAGAAGCTTTGGGGAATTCCAGATTGCATTAGGAGAGTCTATCCTCCATGCGACACCTTTGGCCTTCAGGTTTTCTTGTCGTGCCATTTTCATCTCATACCTACATGCCATTTAGATGGTTTATTTGTAAAAAGTCTTATTTCTCTTTCGTAACAACTAATATGGATGGAACTGAACTCCTAGTGTTTTCCATGATTCTGAAAATTATGCATGAGTTTAGTAGTGTGTTCATTTGTCAATAAAGAATGGACGAACACTGGGTGTAATAATACTTTGGTGGAGCCCTCCATGGTTTTTCCATTCTCTTTTTTTTTTTTTTTTTTTTTTTTTTGAAGTTGGTACACTGCTGTCCGTCAGAATGGAGAACAAAAGGAATAGTTGAACTTACTAGATATCAATAAGAAATTCCTTTTGTAATATATTCTCATATTCTTGGTTTTCCCATGTTTTGGTGTAGTTTCCTATATTATTTAAGGACTTATGCTGCTACTCTTAAATCTAATAT